GTTGCATGATGCACCGTGCACCTTGACCTGGGGCCCACTGGGGGTCGGCTTGGAGCCCTCTCGGAGCTCTTTTGGGGGCCTCAGAAGACCTTTTTTTCGGAGCCTCGTTGCGGCTTCGGGGGGGGGGGGCCTCGCCCAGCTCGCTCGAGGGAAACCGCGAGCTCCGGAGTCCGACCGCCAGCCTCAATCGTCTGGCAACCCCCGCATATCCTAACATTCTCGGTAACCTAGGAAAGCGGGGCCCCGGGCGTCAGCCGAAATCGACGGCGAGTTGTTGTCAAATCCCTGCAATTTCCGCGAGGGGCCACTGTCGAGCATTGATTCTGAGACAAACACAAAACGCACGCGAGTGGTTAAGATGATCGAGTCAACAGTAGCACCGAAAAGCGTCAGCGGGCAATCATATGTTTCCTCTAGTTGCGAAGCCGCTCGCGCGCCAAGATGCAGATGCGATGGTGTCGCATCTGAAAACATTGTAGACGCACGCGCAAGAATGGCAGCGATGCTCCCATTGCTCCTTCGCCAACTCCGCCAAACAAGCGCGCATTCCGACTCGATCGAGGAAGCTGCGCGGCACACTTGCTGCACTTCATGCTTTCTGTTTGCGAATTCCTTTGGGGCGGCGCCGGTCGTGCCCCGAGAGCGCTTCGCGCGTGGGCAATTCGTTTTGCTCGAGTCTGCAGCCAACGCACGCGCGGACCGCATTGACCTCGAAAACGCAAAACTCGCTACGCAAGGGTATGGTTTGCTAGGGGTCGGTTTGGCCGCGCCCGAGTCTCGGGCCTCTCTTGGACCGTCTAGAAAGCTTCTCGGGGCCCTCTTGGACCGATCTGGAGCCCTCTTGGACTCCGAAACAGAACTCCGGCATCTCTGACCCGACCTTGCCGGGACCTTGCCGGGGTACTTTTCGCCCGGGGACCCCCAGGGGCCGCCCCGCGCGCGCGAACTTTTTTTTTTTTTTTTTTTTTTTTTTTTTCCTTTTTTTTTCTTTCTCTCTCTCTCTCTCTCTCTCTCTCTCTCTCTCTCTCTCTTTATTTATGCACTCAGTGCCGCTCATCACTTTACGATTGCTGCTGGCGGGCGCCCTCAGAAACTTTGACCTGGCGTGCGCCAGGAGCTGTGGACCTTCCGCCCGATCCTCCCTCTTCTTTGCACCAACATCAGCTTGCCCTGGCATAATGTCGTCGCAGCTTCTGACACCTCGCTCTTCGGCGTCGGCGCATGCCCCGCAGTTCTTCGACCCGGGCGCGTCGGCGCTGTTGGTGGTTACGCAGGGCGGCGGAGACATTGGGTCGCCGGCGCGGAGCGTGCTCGCATAAGTGGCTTGGAAAAAGATGGCCTCGAGGGCCCTCCAGAGCTGGGTGGGGGTCTCGGGGGCGCCAGCGCACGCGGGCGTCTTGGATGCCGACGACGAGCAGGCCTTGGAGTCTTTCCTGGAGGTGTCTGGGGCCCTGTTCGAGGAGGCGCCGAATGACGTGCTCGATGGGACATTGGGTGGGCGTCTTGGCCTCGAAGGTCCTCGCGGCCGCCGACGTCCTGGAGCTGAAAGGGGGGGCCCTTATCGTTGCCGCTAAGCACATCTTGAGGTCCCTGGGGGCATGCAACCGCCGGGTGGTTATCCCGGTCGACAACCTGTCGCTCGCGTCGGCGGCTTGCCAGCGCCGCGGGCCTTTGCGCATGCGTCGCGCCCCCTCAGGAAGCTCGCTGGCTTATCGCTGGTGACTGGTGCGAGGTTTCATATCCGTTGGATTCCTTCTGAAAAGAACCCCGCCGACATTCCCGCCCGTGGCAAGCTGGGGCGGTTCGTGGGGCCGCGCGCGTCATGTCCTGCTCCGTCTCGCGTTGCGGGTTCGAGGATTGCTAAGTCAGGTCTCATCACTCCGCCATCCACTGAAGCACCATCAGATTCGCTGCCCCCTGACTCCAGCCACGCGCGCCGCGGCGCCGAGGGCGGCTTCGCGGCGACGAGCCCGCGGCCGCGCGAGACTCACGTTGAAAGCTCATCGCGCGGCTGCTGTCAGCCTGGTCTCGGCGCGGAGGAGGTTCGCGGGAGGCCGCGGCTTTCTGGCGGGCCTGGCGGCGACGCCGGGCACGGAGGTCATGCGCCTGATCGCAGCCGCCAAGTTCGCCTACCTCTGCGGCGTGATGGGTGCCGACTGGAGCTCGCGCAGAGAATTAGACCTCTTCCTGGTCTCGCACTGCAGCGCAAAGTTCCTGGAGGGCGCCAGCGGGGAGGACGCCGCCAGGCTAACGGCGAGCCTCGCCCACTTTCCTTTGTATCTCCACAAGGCCACTGCCGAGAAGCTTCCCCGGGCAGCCCGGTGCATTGCCGCTCGGCGGCGGCGAGCCCCGCCCCGCTCGCGTTCGGCATCGACCCGCGCGGCGGAGATGGCGATCGCGGGCTGCCTCAGTCGCTGGGGGCGCCCTCGGACGAACCTCCGGGTGGTCATCGCCTTCTTCGGGCACCTCCGGACGCGCGAAGCCTTCCTCCATCTTCCTCCTGCTGGATCGGCACCTGGCGGTGCCGGTGCTCGTGGCCGGCAGGCTGTTCAGCTCGCGGGGCCTGCTGCAGCGCGACGCGACGATCGGCGCCCCAATCCAGGGGGGCGCGTTCGGTGCCGCGGCCCTGCTGGACCGGTGCGAAGAGGCGCTGAAGGCGCAGTCGAGAGACGACGGAGGCCTGTCGTACTTCGCGCCGACCGAGCTGCAGCGCGCTTCCACGCGCCCAGTCGGCATGCCGAGCCTCGCGCCGCCGTCTCCATTCCTATTCTCGTCGAGGCGCGGAGGCGCCAACGACGGCCAGGCCGCAGCCGCGATCAGCCTGGAGGACGCGCTTGCTCTGGGAAGATCGGCGGTGGTCAACTTCAGCAGCCCGCAGTCGCGCGCGCGGCTGCCTCCCAGGATTGCGGCGGCCCTCGGACAGCAGCTCGGCGTTCCACGACCGATGATATGAATGTCAGGCGTTATCTGCAGCGCGCCTTTCAGGCCCCCGCGAAGCCGCCCCCCCGTTGTCTCGAGCGCCCGATGTTCTCAGACCTCTTCGGCGGGAGTGGGGGGGGTCGCTACGGCCATCGCCAAGCTGGGCTACAGGTCGCTGTCGCTTGACATCCCCAGCGATCCTCGCGAGGACCACTTAGGGTCTTACAGAGCGTCGTCTTGGGATGGGCCGAGTCTGGGCGCATTGGTGGGCTCTGGCTAGGTACCCAGCGTGCTACGTGGGCCCGGGCCCTTAAGAAGACCCCCGCGGAGTGGCGAGTGCCCTTGGGGCTTGGGCGGGCTCTCCGCGGTCGAACTCGCGAGACTCAGAGTGGGTGACAACACCCTCTTGTTCAGCGTGGAACTCATCAAAATCTGCGTGGCCATGAATGTCCCTGGGTTCTTGGAGAACCCGAGAGCCTCCGTGACGTGGCGAACGCCTCAACTGAAACACATGATGAGCCTGCCCAGTTTTTGTTGATGCCTTTTCTGCGATTCGTGTCAGTTTCACACGCCTGGGAAAAAGTCGGCTCGAGTCGCCGTCTGGCCTGGTGCTACGCCTTCTAGTCTATGTAAACGATGTAGCGGAAAACTTGGGCAGTGCAGCAGAACCCATCAGCGCCACATAGAACTCACTGGCAATGCGAGGGAGAAAGTGGATTTCCATCGCCACTCCTTACCCTACTCGCTTCGCCGCTATCGCTGCCAAATGCATTGTAAACACCGCTGGGAGCTTCAAGACCGTTTGAATGCATAGTCTTTTTAAGGGCCTGTGTGCGGCCAAGTCTGGCCATAATTCCTTGTCGGGATCGGGTGCCAGCTGACCTCGGTTGCGGTTCGCCTTTGCTCTCGCCTGTCTCGTCTGTCAGTTCACTGCACAGCGTCGGCTCCTGTGTGGTCGTCTTCGCGCTCGTTCACGACAGAAAAAATGAGCCCTGGCCTGTGAAGTAAATGCCCAGGCTGGATGCGTTCACCACCTTAAGCCGAGTAGTGTCGCAGCTGGTCGCATCGGAATCCCCATACCGTAATCCTGAAGACTCCCTCCCACCCTGTCCCCGCTTTCGGACGGGATACCAGCTGACCTCGGCTGCGCGTCGCCTTTAAGCTCTCGCCTGTCTCGTCAGTCAGTTTACTGCACAGCGGCTGCTCCTGCGTGGTCGTCTTCGCGATCGTTCACGATAGAAAGAGGAGCCCCAGCCTGTGAAGTACATGCCCAGGCGAATAGTCATGGTCTTAACAGTAATAACAGTAGTACGAATATTAATGCTAAAAGCAATAGTACCAATCAGCCACGTATAACTACGGAGAAGAGGAATATCACACATAAGAAGAATTATGCGTTTAACATCACAAGAAAGCAAAACAATACTACTACTGCGAATAGCAAGAGTATCAGGAGGAGGAGGAGGAGGGAGGAAGGGAGGGACGGAGGAAGGGAAGAGGGAGGAGGGAGGAGGGAGGAGGGAGGTGGGAGGTGGGAGGTGGAGGACGGAGGACGGAGGAGGGAGGACGGAGGAGGGGGACGGAAGGAGGGAGGGGGGGGAGGAGCGAAGGGGAGGAGGGGGGGGAGGAGGGAGGGGGAGGAGGGAGGCGGGAGGAGGAGGAGGGAGGAGGGAGGAGGGAGGAGGAGGGGAGGGGGAGGAGGAGGGGAGGAGGAGGAGGGAGTAGGGAGGACGGAGGAGGGAGGACGGAGGACGGAGGACGGAGGGAGGGAGGAGGGAGGAGCGAGGTGGGGGGAGGGAGGAGGCAGGAGGGAGGAGGGAAAAGGAGGAGAGAGGAGGGAGGAGGGAGGAGGGAGAAGGGGAAGGAGGAGGAGGTGGACGAGGAGGAGGAGGGAAAGGAGGAGGAGGAGGAGGAGGAGGAATAGGAATAGGAACCTGGGAACGCAGTGTCCCTCGACCGACGCGCGCGCCGTGACGGGGCCGCCCGCCAACCCACCGGCCGCCCCGCCCCCTCGGCAGATGAAGGTGAGTGCCGCGCCGGGGCACCACACACACGGGGTGGGTACTAGGGCAGCCCCGAACCTATGCGAATCGGGAGAGGACGATCAGCGCCTCTGGCACGAACAGCAGGAAGAGCTCGTCGAGCTCCACCGGCTCCTCGCCCAGTCGGGCTGCTCTCGCAGGCAGCCCATGTGGACTGCGCTCTTGCAGTGTTGGCAGACGACCATCGCAGTCCTGTGAGCTATACCCTCCATGCACAGCTCGCATACAAAGGCGTCATCGCCGTCGATCGGCCTCGGCGCCTTGCGAGGAAGAAGACGGGGCGACAGGCACACGGGGCAGAGGCCACCCAGCATCGCCGCGAGGATGTCGGCCGTGGACCTCCCCGTCTGGATAACGAGGGTCGCCGTCCGCTGCTGCCGCGCGGAGAGATTATCAAGGTCATCCGTGTCCTATGGAAACAATGCTTGGTCCTCCTGCGCCTCGTTGCCGTCGCCGACGGTCGTGCACTCGCCCACGGATGTCTGCAGGACCCGCTCGGGGTCGACCATGGGCGTTTCGAGCTTCAGGGTGGACGCATCAAAGGCGACGCGCTGCTTTGCTCCTCCTGGGCCGTCGGGGTGGCCTTGCACTCGACGTCAACGTCCGAGCTCGCCCCGACGACAGGGCCAGCGCCATCCGAGCCCAGCGCGGCAGCAACGCCGCCAGCCGTGGGGCAGACATCCCCTGCAGGGACTACGAGTCCAGGCTGCGCCAACGCGCCCAGCACCGCATCGATGTCTGCTCCGTGTCGCTCTGGGTGCTGGACCGCGCCCTGCACGAAAGGCGGTGCCGCCACCCACCAGGTGCTCCCGCCTGCCCAGAAAGTGCGCACACCTCCAAGTGGGCCGTGAGCCGTCCCAGCACCAGCCGAGGGTTCTGCGACACAGACCTCCACGGTGATATCCCAGCCGCCCAGCGTTACTTCGTCGCCGTCCACTGCGCCCTCGCAATCCACAGCGACCCCCAGTCGAAGCGACTTCGCCGCCTGCCGCAGGGAGGCCGCGGAGGCTCGGCTGAGATTGCCTGGGACGCGAGCGGCGTACAGGCGACGTTGCGACGCAGCCGCTGCAGCGCCCTCGGGTACAGACCTACCAGCAGGGGGGCGAGCGCGGGCGCGCACGCAGCCAGGAAGTCCGCGAGGCCTTCGCACTCGGCGACCGCGTCGAGCGCCTCCAGGGTCGCGTCGAGGCCCTCCCGCAGCTCCTTCACCTCGGCGGTGAGGCGCGCCACGAGCCTGTCTGACGCCGACTTGGCCCAGGCATGCGCTCGCGCCGCGAAGTCGCCTCCGGCTGGTGCCCTCCAGGGGCGCCTCCCGCAGCTATCATCCCGTGAGCCGAAAGCCTTGCCCCCCCAAGGCCCTCACGCCCGCCCGGGATGGGGGTACGCCGAGGGACAAGGAGGGAGGAGGGAGGAGGGTTGAAGGATGAAGGAGGAGGGAGGAGTGAGGAGGGCTGAAGGATGAGGGAGGAGGGAGGAGGGAGGAGGGAGGAGGAGGCGGAGGAGGAGGAGGACCAGTGTAAACCCAAGAGCCATCAACGATGCTGGAATACACCCTCCAAGCTCCCTCTCCATAGGCCCCTACAACGGTTTATTGCGAAGGCCTTACGGCCGATGCCGCCGACCCTGAAGGGGGACGATGAACGACGACGACGACGACGACGGCGACGGCGACGACGATCGCGAGTCCTTGTTGGGGCCTTCCCGGGCCCTCTTACACCCTCCAAGCTCCCTCTCCATAGGCCCCTACAACGGTTTATTTCCATTGAAGGATCTGCATCGTTGGAAGACAACCGTTGGAAGACCTGGAAGCATGCCAAAACATTGTTCTCGGAATTTCAACGACACGGATCAACCTGACGATCTTGGATCGTGTTAGAACGTCATTCTTGGGATTTCAACATTGCGAACCAACGTAATTGTCGCACCCGCAAAATCCTGAATCCTTCCCAAGCGCAGTTTCTGGTACGTTGATCGTGGGAACCCGTGGAAGCCTTGCAATTCTTCTGAACGAATGTGCGCGGTGCGAAGGCGAGAGCCACATTTGAAAAGGAACCGTCCCCAATCCGTGAAACCCTTGTAACTTTTGATAACGAATGCGCGCGGCGCTAATGCGAGAGCCACATTTGGAAAACGGGTTATCCCAAGTATTTGAAGCTCTTGCAAATGCTTAAAACGAATGTTCGCGGCGCTAAGGCGAGAGCCACATTTTAAAATCGGGGTATCCTCAATCCGTGAAACTCTTGCAAGATGTTGAAATGAATGCGCGCGGCGCTAAGGCGAGAGCCACATTTTGGAAACTACCCGCCATCCATCTGTGAAGCTGTTGCCAATCTTCAAGCTTCAGAGTCATAAATGGTGAGGAAGTCTCAGTCGAAACGCCCGGCCCGCCCTAAAAACTGGCCTTGGGGTGCGACAGGAGGCTCGGTATCGGTTAACCGATCCCCATCCCCATTCCCATCCCCTTCGAGACCCCCACCAAATTGCCGCCCCAGTTGGGGATACACTCCTCGAAACCCGAAGGGGACGGCCTATATCCCCATCTAGGGGAATATATCGGCCAGAGGGGCCTAGGCCGCGCCGCTGGGGATGGGATCGGTTAAACGATACTCAGAGGTGGAGGAGGAGGAGGAGAAGGAGAAGAATGAAGAAGAAGGAAGAGGAGGAGGAGGAGGAGGAGGAGGCGGAGGAGGAAGAGGAAAAGGTGGATGGAGGAGGAGGAGGAGGAGGAGGAGGAGGAGGAGGAGGAGGAGGAGGAGGAGGAGGAGGAGGAGGAGGAGGAGGAGGAGGAGGAGGAGGAGGAGGAGGAGAGGAGGAGGTGGATGGAGGAGGAGGAGGAGGAGGAGGAGGAGGAGGAGGAGGAGGAGGAGGAGGAGGGAGGAGGAGGAGGAGGAGGAGGAGGAGGAGGAGGAGGAGGAGGAGGAGGAGGAGGAGGAGGAGGAGGAGAGGAGGAGGGGAGGAGGAGAGGGGAGGGAGGGGAGGGGAGGGGGGAGGGGGGGAGGGAGGGAGGGGAGGGGAGGGGGGGGAGGGGAGGTGCAGATTGGGCTTCGAGGGAGCGCCCGCCCCCACTTTTCCACACCGGTGGCAAGCCAAAATGCTGCAGCATCAACACGCACATTCAACACGCATGTGAGTTGTATACACATGCACAGACACGCACTGGGCCCGACAGGCCCTGAGATCAGCACTGACTAAAAACAAACATCGTGCGTTATTAAGGCTGCAATGGTCCCCGGATGGCCGCCTGAAACTCTTGAAATTCTCAGCCCTCTCGCTCCTGTTTTGGACGGGGCCACCCGGCTTACCGGCTGGTAGCCCAGAGGAGGTACCCGCGGCCGGCTGCGGCGGCGGCTCGACCTCCTCGTCCTCCATGCCTTCGCCGACCGGCAGGAGCAGGAAGTCACGGGGAGCCTTGAACTCACGAATCATCATCTTGATGAACCTCACGCGCTGGTCCTCGTAGTCCGCCAGCTTCTGATTTCCCCACTCGCAGAGGTTCTCGACGGCCTGCTTGAACTCCGCATCGTCTGGCATGTTGGTCGAGATGACGCTCCACGTGTCCGTGTCCGACTGGTCTGGCACGCTGCTGTACGAGTGCTTGGCCGGCACACGCAGGCCCTCGATCACGTTCTCCATGCCCTCCAGCGTCTCCAGCTTCTTGCCTTCCAGCAGGTTTCGGTATACGCTGTCCAGGGTCTGCATATACATCAGGGCCGCGTCCTCGATGATCGCCGCTGTCCTGATGGCGATGTTCCCTGTCCCCTTGCTCCAGGTCGATGTCACCCTGTTGCGCAGCTGCTTGGTCTCAGGATCGCCCAGGATGTTCATGTTGGTCACGACCTTGCACGTCGTACCTGAATGGCGGATCGGCTCCGCCTGGATGCTCTCGAACAGGCTCCTGACTTCGTCTTCGCTCAGTCGGCTCACGAACTTGACCATGGCCGGGCGCTGACGAGAGAGGCTTGCGGCCGGCCAGCTCTTTCTTGCTACGAGCCGAAATGAGTTGACGACGGACACGCTCGTGGGCTGCTGCTGCCATTACTGCTGGCTCATCGGCTAATTGATATCCGTAAGGGCTTCGCCCCCCTGCCGCTGGCCCCCTCTCTCGGAGAATGGGCCATGGAAGAGCTAAGTCATGAGGCCTTGGCGCTGTCGTGAAGCAGTATCGAAACTTCATGCGAAGCCGAGTCGCAATCAGCAAAACCAACTGATCACAAGAGGGGTTACCACACCTGGCGATTGGTAAGACGTGTATGGTTTAAGGGCTTGGTTACCACACCTTGCGATTAAAGGGCCGAGGGAGTTCTCGCAGTTTGGGTTACCACGCCTTGCGATGGATGTGCGTGATGGGTTCGAATTTCAGAAATGTGGCAAATCCCCTGTGTTTTTGGACCCTGACCCCGCGGATCTGCGTGAGGGGTGGCACCGAATTTCAGAAATGTGGCAAATCCCCTGTGTTTTTGGACCCTGACCCCGCGGATCTGCGTGAGGGGTGGCACCGAATTTCAGAAATGTGGCAAATCCCCTGTGTGTTTTTGGACCCTGACCCCGCGGATCTGCGTGAGGGGTGTCGATTTCGAGCCCCCCCAGCAATTCAGACAACGCGCCCAGGAGGTGCTAAAATGTCGGTTTGGGCCTCCCCCCCCCTCGCGCGGTCAATCAATTAGTTACAGTAACCAGCAAGAAGCAGAACTGTAACACTGGAAACTACAAGCTACAACTGGTACAGGAAACTGCGAACCTCGCGCCTACAGCCTGGTGGCCCCACAAAGGGCCGGCGGATTTCCCGCAGGTCACGGTAGCTCTCAACATGTCGGCTGGCTCGGCTTTGTCTTTAGTCAATATGTCTGCAAGCTGTAGAGCTGACGGCACCCATCGATAACTTACTCCTAGCCGCTTCACGCTCTCCTTGGTAATAACCAAGTCGACCGCCACCCGTTTGTCCGAGCATGACCCTGCACTCCCACAGCCAATGATGTGATCGTACAGCGACTTGCAATCTGTGACGGCGATGGGGGTCAGACGTGGGAGATATTCAGACCTGCGACGTAGACAAAAATCCCCGTCACTGCCCTCGAGGCCTAAGCCATCCATCTGGGCCTGGGTCTCGGCTGCAAGAGTCGAGGATGTGACACGGCGGAGGCGGTAGCTTTTCCAGACCAGATGGCTCCAGGGGCTCAGCTCGTGTCGGCTCAGCTCGTGTCGCGTGCATGATAACTCGAAGTCGATCGATCGGAATCGGCTTGATCTTCCAGGATAGATTCGAAAACTGTTTGGCCCTTCTCACGATCGTGTTCCCATGTCTCACCTCCCCCACCGTCGGCTTCGGCATGCACTGCTGACTCATGGAGACCTGCACTGCTAGATCAGCCCTGGACTCCCGAGCTGAACAGTTGCCGCTCCCCAGCATCGCCCAGAAGTTCGCGATCTCCTTATCGGTCGCCGGGGTCTCGGGGGGAGCTCGGGGCCTCACACCAGCAGGCTTCATGGACTCAGCAAACTCGTTTTGAGAGACGGTTATCTCCATGGTCACAGGGTTTTGGACAAGATAAGACGCGCAGAACTTTCCCTCGTTGACCTTCCACTAGGGGAATGGGAACCTCGCTCGAAGAAAACCGATGAAAGCGTCGTACTGTTTTCCTTTTCCACCGGTCAAGATGTCATCGACATGTGTCGATATCAGTCCCTGCAAGCGCTGGCCCTTGAACAAGAAGAACAGGCACGGGTCGAGCTTGGACTGGCGCCAGCCCTCACACCCGTCGCTCGGCTTCCAGTCCAGGACGGTGTCTCGGAATTTTCCCCACCATTGAGTTGGGGCGTCGTTGAAGCCGTAGATCGGCCTGATCACCTTCAGCAGCTGGTCGGGGTATGGAAGGCCTCCACGCGGCTGCTTCAGGTACAAGTCGCCGCCCTCATGCTTGATGGGATCCGCCTCGAGGAAGGCCCCCTCGACATCTCCAATCTGAACCTGGAAGCCGTCTGAGGCCAGCAGCTGGTAGGCCACGACTTTGCCATTCTGCGATTGGGTCGGAGAGGTCCTGTTCTCACGTACGAGCTGCACCAGGTCGGGGTCCATGTAACCCTGACTGCACAAGCGCGCCTTGACCACCTCCGTTTCTGTGTCGTCAATCTTGCTGGTTCATCCGACTCGACCCTGGACACTGGTGACAACGCCTTCTTCTTGTTGAAAAGGTTCTCCACCTCTTTGCCGATGCCGACGTCTATCTTCGCGAGACCTTCCTTGCTCGTCC